ATCGCCGTAACGGTGCGGCTAATCCACACCAAATTCAGGGGATCCCTTCAGCTCGAGGAACCCTCTCGAACGCGAATCAAGTGTACGTCTCGAGGCCCTCTTTCGAATGAGACCACTGCCGCGTCAGGGGTTCGGGAGTTACGGGTGGTTAAATTCGGGTGGCGTTTGAGAGGGCTCCTCGAGCTGAAGGGATCCCCTGAATTTGGTGGAGATCCGCCGGCGCGTTCATGAGATAGTGACACCAGTCAACACTCTCACTTCAGTAAGGAGGTTTCTTGTTCAGGCAGCATTCACGCGCTGTCTTATTCGACCGTTAGTGCCCTGCGAAGTGGACTTCACATGAAATTCCGCCATGATTCCAGTTCCAAGGGAACGTACACGTTACATTCGTTGTCTTATTCGACCGCAAGTGCCCTGCGAAGTGGACTTCACATGAAATTCCGCCATGGTTCCAGTTTCAAGGGAACGTACACGTTGCATTCAAAAAATGAAGCACACAGACTTTATTATAATATAATATAATGTAATTTAAAGGAAAACTATGTGAATGGCGCTCTGTGGCGCTGCAGGATTTTCTGTCAGCTGCATTTAAATCCGCGTCTGAAGTTTCCCGCTCTGTTCAGCGTGCAGTATCACGTGTCTAAACAAATAGCATGTGCTGTCAGTGATTTCAACCACTAAAGGCCGCTCTCGCACTGTGTAATGACAGCAGACCCTTCTCAGCCGCTCCAGCAATGGACGCAACCCAGAAAACTATCGGCATGGATTTTTGTCGATAACCGATAGTTCCAGCAATCAACTATCGGTGCCGATTAATCGGCAAAACCGATACATCGGTCGACCTCTAATATATAGTACCAGTCAAATGTTTGGACACACGAATGGGAAAGTGTCCAAATTTTTGACGGTACTGTACTATAATATACACAAAGAATATCGGCCGATATATCGATATCGGCCCTTTTTTTTACTCCCAAATATCGGTATCGGCCCCAAAAAAAACATATCGGTCGGGCTCTAGTAGAGACCATCGAGATCTTCTTTATCCTAACAATCATATTCTCTATTTCAGTTGCGCCCAAAATCTCCAGCTCTTGTAGCCAAAACAGCGTAATGGCGTGTGTCTGTGAGGCTCATGGGAATCCCTGCCCTACACTAGAGTGGCGACTGTCTGGACATGTGCTCGCTAACTCTACAGAAACCTACATCAGTGAGGAGATGTTAGGAAGCACAGGAGTAAAGAGCGTCCTGACCATCCATCAGTCCCTCACGGACACGGACGTCCTGCAGTGTTTCAGTGCAAACATTTACGGCAGCGCAAGTCAACAGTTTCAGGCCATCCCACCACCACAAAAGACAAGTGAGAAACACAAAACAACAGCTTTATCACAAATGATGCCTTTGACCTTGTGAAAAAGAAGTGTGGATTTTTCTATTGCAAAAACTACTTGCAGATAATATATTAATGACAGAGTACACTTACATGACTATGTTTAAGACACTTAAGTACACTTTTAAAAAGTGCAATATGTAGCCTAATAATGTCCATTTCACATCTGAGATCTCCCGAGCTATGAAAGATCAAACTCTGAGCAATAAAGCACTGCTTTCCAGGTTTCCATCATCCATCGGTGCTGCTCGGAGCTGCTGTCGGCATGTCAGTGATGATGATCGTGTGCATCACGAAGCTCTGCTATGAACGGTGGGTACAAATTCCCTTTGAGGAAACACAAGCAGACAAGTCAAAAAAAAAAATCTGTCTATCTATCTATCTATATATAAATGATTTGAAAACATGTTTTTAAGAAAAAGGAAAGAAAAACCTTTAGAAACCAGACAAGACAACACATCTGGACTCATTCTGACTCAAACGGTGAGTAATTTATTCTAAAAGACATTAAAGACAGTCATTCAGCAGATCTTCTCCACTCATTTTGCTGTCTCTTCTCCATCAGGCCATTGCTCTGGATAATGACGGTCAGTTTGTTAACGCCAATAACGGCATGCTGTCATCCACTGCACCGAGTGCAACTGAATCGCTTCATTATTCCTCCATCGACTTCACAAACACTGAACCACCGCCAGGAGAGATCAGGGGCATCGCCTCACTGACCAGTGAATACGCTGCGGTCCAACACCGTCCTGCAGGAGCCGCAGACGCAGAGAACAACACCTCAACATCTGAGACAGAGCCCAAAAAACAAGACATGACAGCAGAGATCACAGACACATCAGAAGACATGATTTATGAAAACACGAGACATCACTACAGACAGAAGGAACCGCTGGTCAGATGATGCTGAAAAACAAGACTGAACCAAAACCTTTGAATCTTTGAGCACCAGAGGGATTTTTAGAGCGATTTAAGGGATCTTTCATCCAAAAATTACAATTACAAACCTATAGAACTTTCTTAGGATAGTTCATTCATCACAGAATCAGAAACTCCACTATTTTGTGTCATTTCGAGTCGGAGTGACTGTCAGGCATCTGAAAGTGAGTTTTGATTGAGTAACTTGTAGATCTGTGCTGCTCGAGCCACGAACCGTTTCAGTCCAATTTGGTGAACTGGTTCAACTAGTTCACTAAAAAGAACCGGTTCAAAAGAATGATTTATTTGTGAACCAGACATCACTCCAGACTGTCTGAGGCATTACAGGCAATAATGTTGTAAATAATGTTCAGTTTCTTGCGCAGACCAATCGTTTCATTTCATAAGACCTTAATATTCATCAGGTGCCACAGGGGTTAAATTTGATATGCTTTTTTGACTCTCAAAGTGATGGTACCCATTGACTTGCATTTTATAAATCACCAAGGACCAGGATTTCAGCTAAAAATCTTCTTTATTCTTCTACTGAAGAAAAAAAAAGTCACTTACATCTTGGGTGGTGAGTCCAGTCATGTTTTTGGTTCTCAACTTTCTTCAAAATATCTTCATGATATTTATCCACATACCATATATGAATGAACAAACAGAAAACATGAGCTAATTTAAGGTGTTTATCAGAACACATGTTTGGGGGAAAAAAGGCAAATTAGTTTATTTTGCATGGTCTGTTATTGGAGTAGTGTCACCTTGATGGGAGTTTTAACTCCTATGCACAGAGAATAAAAAAATAAAAAATAAATGAAAATAAAAAACCTTTAGCAGATGCAGAGACATATAGATCGGAGGAATCCCCCATCTCCCTCTGAATATTACGTATAATGTAACTACGTGTAAATGCTATTTGGCGGTTTTTACTTAGAAAACCAGCTATATTTTTCTAGCATTCGAACAACTATTAAATCAACAACTTAAACAAAATTAAACAACTTTTAAATCGACACCTGCCACGGTGTTTTCCTCTTTGAGTGCGTCCTAAAAGCATCATGCACAAATCAGTTCAGAATCAGCTCAGAGGTGTTTACTGGTTAGTCAGAATTCGCTCTGCACTAATTGTTTTCAGAGGTTTACGGAGCAAGTTGTGACAAAAACTAGGGAGTGGAAATGGCAACTGAGCTGATGAGTGATCCTCTGCTACCATCTCTTAGTTATAATGGTCATTTAATTTTCATCTTAAAAGTCTTTGTTTTCCAACCAGGAGACACATTTTTCATCATTAATGAAAAGTGAATCTTTAAAGTGAATTTTACTGCATAGGCTTCAGAATATTTTAAGTGTTTAAAAAAATGTGCTCTATAGATGAACAGTGGGTAAAGGGCAGTGTTTTTTTTTGTGTGTGTGTGTGTTTCATAAACTTGGTACTGATAACAGTTCAACATTATTTACCTTAGCCTACCTTTGGGGTCTTTGCTATTATATTCCAATATTTTTATGCCTCAATTAGCTAGTTATAGATTAAGAGTTGTTGTTTTTTACAGATGACTTACTGCTGTGTTTAATAATTTAAGTTGTCAAAATAACATTCTGTTCTGTAAATGCATTGTCTGCTGGGTTATTTAGCTACTTTTCAGTACACCACATTAAGTATGCCACTTAGTACTGTAAGACTTTGAATGTTAAAGTGCAAATTAACACCCGACCACTCCTGTGAGTTTGCTACTGTTACAATTAAAAGTCGTAGAAGGGTAAAAAAATAAAAATAAAATAAATGTAAAAAAAAAATGGTATGATGTAAGCAACACAGCTACAACAAATAAAATTGTGGGTGTGTTAGATAATGGGTGTGTCAGATTTATAGTGTGCAAATAATCATGCATTGACAATAATCAGTCGTATTGGCGGCACTGAGGGGCCCCCATATAAAATTCTGCTTAGGGCCCCATAAAGGCTTGGGCCGGCCCTGCCTGTATCATGTCAATCATCACGAACACTACAAATTTGAGCAATTCAAAGGATAAAAGCGCTGAAGAGGAAGTAAAAACACAAATTACATCTTTTGCAACCTGTTTCCTAAAAGACTAACAGGAGAAGTGCAAAACGGGAAACATTCAGATGAACCAATGAGAGTTTTTTTTTTTTACCTTGAAATGTCAGTTTCAGTCAGTAAATTGGCTTCTAACAAGACGAATAACCGTATCTTTTTCCAACCGTCTGTTCTGGGAGGACGTCATCAGGTGAGCGGGTACGAAATTCCGCGAAAATGGCGGATTGCTTTAGGGCAGCAACAAATGCACGACTTACGACAGTGAACTCAAGTCTTACAGTAGGTGGCTCCAAAATCGCAAAAATACACAAACTGCATACAGTTGCTTTAAGCTTGCTTTTAATAGTAAAAAAAAAGATTTTGTAAAGTTGTAAATGACTGCAGTTTTTTGGAGTATGTTTTACAAGAATTTCAAATTTTATGTTTAATTCAATGTGTTGCTGTTTCTTTGTAATTATTAGTGAAATCTGCTAGCAATTTCGGAGTACAAATTGTTCCACTGTAAATCCTACAGCGCATTAACAAAAAAAAAAAAATGAACATGAGAACATTATAACAACTATTATCAATAAACAATATAAATATTATAAACATTTCAAATATATTTAAAAATATTTTATTTTGAATGTAACATTTAGATTTAAAAAACATTTTTCTTATTTTAAATTTAAACATGAAATTTGTAAAAAAAAAATCACAAAATTGGAATATTATGAATAGTATATGTGTGTGTATAAAATGTATATATATATATATATATATACTGTATATATATATATATATATATATACACATGTATGTATGTATATATATATATATGTATATATATATACACACTGTATATATATATATATTTATATAGTTTTTATTTTGTAATTTTCCTTGCACCTGCCTTTAAATTAAAAATTTGCAGGTCAAAATGATTTTTAATATCACAACGGAAATTAACATCATATTCGTAATAGAGATTTCATGCACACATCCCAAAATTGTTCAGATTGTTGAATCTTTCCAGGCATGTTCACGACCCTACATGAGAAAGTGTCTCACAATTTAAAGAAAAACATTCTTACCTGTATTTTTGAAAACTCATAATAAATGTGTAAAACTGACCTGGAACATAAACATACAAAACCAATTCGGATAAAGAATATTATTTCATTTTCTTTTCATATTGTTTCACAGTCAGATGAAAAAAAAAGATGACGACATACAGGAACTTGGCCATTTTCAGTTTATTTTCTCATGAACTCTTTTGCAACGAACAGTCAAGCACACAATTTTATCAAAGTACAGTTTTCCATTCAAGGACCTCGACCGTACGTCTAACAGCACAACGTGGAGACAAATGTTGAGTAGAGGAAGGTCAAAATCCATGTCAGCCACTACTTCACTGCTGTGAAAATCTCTATGTAAAAAGCAAACATGCACGTGTTACACAGGGAAAACAAGAAACATCTTCAGTAGGGGACTTTTTTGTTAGAAAATCATTTTACTGCAAACCCAATGCAGCTCAATCACCTCATCTGTACAAACATCAGTGGCAGAGCACAAACGATTGAGATTGTAAAGATCACGTTGGCAGTAGAAGCTTCATCTGAAAACTCAGCTTGGCTCAAAACGAAGGGTTGCCGTTAAGACATCAAGGTGTTCAATTCTAGTAGAAAAATGGCTGTTTTTCATGTCTGGAATGCTCTAAAACGAGATTTTAGTGTGCGTGTGCTTTCTCTACTGAGACTCATAACGTGCAGGAGAAAAAACATCTCAAATCGCCTAAAGTAATCGCTGCACTACTGCTAAACGAGCTGAGGAAGACGCATGAATACTGTGTGCGACATACAAAAGACGGACGACGGAAGGCAGAAACGTCTTAGAAACGGTGATCCAAAAATACAGTTTGGCAATAGACCACCAGCGGGCAGTGTAGAAAAATGAACGCTCATGAGGATCCTCAAATAGTGTCTATTGATCACGATGCTGTAAAACCGTACGAAATATTAGCTGTCAAGTTTATATTTGACCGCTGGCGGAGTAGGAGATTAATAAAACGTTATTAATACACTCGTTTTGGTTCTTCTGACAAGCGAACAGAAATAAAAGTGCTTCAGAAAGGTGAAAAAGCAAACGATAAACTAGAAAAGTAACATATTTATACGGAAGAAGCACAGGCTGTGCTGCATAGAAACTACCAAAGTCAATGATTGAAAAGCTCCCTCACGAGCTTTTTTTTTTCTTTCCCGCAGGTTTAAGTCCCTTTACGTCTCTAGATTCAGAGCACTTCAAACATAAAACAACATTGAAACGGAGACTCGACGCTTTTTTTCTTCACTTTTCGCTTTTCTTTAAAAAAATATGGGAAGCCCTCAGTCATTTCCGGAAATAGATGTTCTTAACCAGCCTTTTGATTCACCCTCGCAAATATACATTTGTACATTTTTGGTATGTATATCATCTGAAAAGGAATATATTTATATATCTAGAATATTTACAGACCTATATATAATTATTTGATAAAATGTATTTAATATTTAAAATGTAATATAACAGTAGTTACTTTTACAGTAACACTAAAAATACTGTATTACAGTAATGAGAATTGCCATTAAGCATAATTCAAGATCCATTAAAAATGCATTAAATTTGGGGGTAAATGTGCTTAATTGTCATGAAAAGGTTCAACTAAACACTTTAAGGAATTATTTTACATTCCTTAAAAATAGGCTGCAGTTTTTTCATGAATAGACTTTTTTTTCTTTCTTTTGATTTTGGGTGTTCATGTTTAAACTGGTGGCTGTATAGTTGAGCAAGCGAATGTGTGATGTTATAAATGCATCAGATCTGTTGCAGTTTACTGGCCTTTCCCTCCGAACGCGGCAAATGAAAAAACAAGAAAAAAGACAAAACACCAACCAAAACCGCAGTGAAAACGCTAGACTATGTTCTTGTAGGCTTTAGTACCACACGGTACGAGTTTTCCGGCTGGATTACATGGTATTAGAACAGACAGGACACAAACGAACCGTCAAAAGACACGAACACACTCACAGAGAGAGAGAAATGGCTGCAAACAGCAAAGCTTTGAGCGGTAGATCCAGTGGTCCGAAACACTGTCTGTAGTCGAGAAGGCTAAAATCATCAGAAGACACAAAGGCAACGTCTCCAGATGTTGGATGGCGATGAGAATGTAAAGGAGAAACACTGTAAAATGCGGTTGCATATATAATCGGTATTAAGGACAGTCGTTATAAAAGAGGACACCTTTAAAAACAGCACATGGAGGAGTCAGGTGGAGCAAGCGGCCGGTGAGGAAAGCTAAAGAAACACCTGTGTGTGTGTGTGTGTGTGTGTGAGGATGGCTGAAGACACATCTGGAAGAGGAAGTGCTCGGAGGACGGGGACACACACTTCCTGTTGCTCTGGTCATTAGGTCAGAGTGCTGGAAGCCCTGAAGTAGGACAGGAACTTGAAGCACAAGCTCACGACGAAGTACCAGATGTTTATCATCTGAAAAGGAATATATTTATATATCTAGAATATTTACAGACTGATGAAACTATCTTACGCCGGTCTACAGACAGAAATATCCTCATCTAACAATTGCAAAAAAACTCAGTGTCCTGCTGTACAAACAGAAAAATTAACAAACATACATGGTGTCGAGTGTCATATTTCACACTTAAATCAAAAGAAATGTAAAAAGTAATTTTATATTTAATAAATGTAATTATTAATCAATAATAAAACATTTAAATAATATAACAATTATAAGGAACTTGAAGCACAAGCTCACGACGAAGTACCAGATGTTCCTGGCCATCTGAGAGCGAGCGATGAAGACGCGCCAGATGAAGACCAGCAGCACCGTGTTGAACGTGTATCGGATGTTTCTCAGCCTGTGAACGGAGGATCAATAATTCAATGAAACACCGAAGACACTTACTATCAACTTGCAAACTCAAGGTGTTTAATCAAGCTTCCTCTGGACAGGATGCAGTGTGTTTATAGGCCACACCACCATTATTTATTCACCCTCATGCAAAACTCTCATATGACCTCAGAAGACCTTTGGTGATGCAGAAATAAAAAACTATTGTTAATTATTATATTATATTATATTATATTATATTATATTATAGAAACAAAAAATATCTGTTGAAGAAATAGAAATGAGAAAATAAGACTCAATAATAAATAATTATATTATAAATGTTTATATTATAAATGTTTCTACAGAAACAAAAGAATAGAAAAGAAAAAATAAAACAATAGAAAATAAAAAAAACAGCACAATATAATACATTTCATTTTGATATAACATACACTACCCTTCAAAAGTTTGGGGTTAATACATTTGACACCCTGGAGCACAAAAGCAGTCTTAAGTCGCTGGGGTATATTTGTAGCAATAGCCAAAAATACATTGTATGGGTCAAAATGATTGATTTTTCTTTTATGCCAAAAATCATTAGGATATTAAGTAAAGATAATGTTCCATGAAGATATTTTGTAAATTTCCTACCATAAATATATCAAAACGTAATTTTTGATTAGTAATATGCATTGCTAAGAACTTAATTTGGACAACTTTAAAGGTGATTTTCTCAATATTTAGATATTTTTGCACCCTCAGATTCCAGATTTTCAAATACTTGTATCTCGGCCAAATATTGTCCTATCCTAACAAATCCAATTTCCATACATCAATGGAAAGCTTATTTATTCAGCTTTCAGATGTATAAATCTCAATTTCGAAAAATTGACCCTTGTGACTGGTTTTGTGGTCCAGGGTCATATTTGAATTCAATTTCAGCTGTAAAGCAGCTCTGCAGAAGGCAATGGTGTCATTATTCAGCTCAGTTTAGATTCAGTAAATGTGTAGACGTATCATCAGATGGACGTACTTCCTCAGGTGCTGTCTGGCGGCGGGAATGTCGGACATGTCCTCGTTCAGAACGTACTTCTTGGTGCCGATACAGTAATTCTCGATGTACTCGGGCCAGTTCAGCTGGCGAACGTCAAAGTTGAAAGTCTGAAAGATCACGAGGATGAGTTCAGCACAGTTTCGTCCACAGACTGTCAGTATGCTCGTGCGATTGCTTCGGCGGTGTGTGTGTGTGTGTGTGTGTGTGTGTGTGTGTGTGTGTGTGTGTGTGTGTGTGTGTGTGTCATTCTCTTCATCTCTCTGCTTGTTATGAAACATTATCATCTAATATGAAGATCATTTAAATCAAAATTATTCATTTTGTTAACGTTCCCTCCTGTCCTCGGCGCTCAGCTGACTCATCAGCATGTTCATGTTGTCGGAGTTCCACTCCCAGTCCTGACTGCTGAAGTACTCCAGCAGACCGATGGCTTTGTGCAGACGGTTGAAAATACGCATCATCCTGAATGAACACAGATCACACAGACACACTCAGCTCCTCTATGACAATTACACTACTTTTTTATAGATTTTATTTCTATAAAATAATGTATTAAATTATATTCATAATTATTGATATTAATGATCAAAATGTTATATTAATAATACAATAATTACTGATATTTCTATTTATATATTAACAATATATATATATATAAGCTGTTTTTATAATATAATATAATAATATATAATATAATATAATATAATCTTGTTACCAAAACATGCTTATTTATCTTTGTTCTTGTGAATGTCTTTTTACATTTTTTATTTCTAATAATTATTCACAATAATAATAATATTTGCATTTATATATTAACAATACATGCCGATTTATCTCTACAGATATTTTATTTCTATAATATGCAATATAATATAATATAGAATTCTATTTTACCTAATATTTTATTTTCCATTTCTATGCTATTATATAATTAAATATAAAATATTATATTATGTATTCAATTATTAATAATCATAATGCTTTATCATATTTACCAATATTTGTATTTCTATATTAACAATACATATTTTATTTTTTTCCTATAATATAATATAATTATATTTTAGCATATATTTTGTCTTATTTTCAATTTCTCAATTTTCAATAATATACATTATCATTCAGATGTTAGGGGTCTATAAGGTTTTAAAAGAATTATTACTTTTAATCAGCAAGGGTGTATTTCTATTTCTAATAAATAAAATATTTTTTAAATATATTATTATACATGGCATTTCATCACAATAGAACAGATCATGCAAGTACTGTGTTGTTAGTTCTCACTGTGGTTTCTGTCCGGACAGTCGGAGGAACAGGTCATAGATGAGCGCGGGGAACTTGTGACTGACGAGGATCCAGTACTGGTAGATCAGGTAATTGGAGGTGATGTTGGCGTTTGGCCGACGGAAAGCCTGTTCCAGAGGATTCCTCTTAAACGTGGACATCACGTGATGCTCTGGAAAGCAAAAGATATTGTATATAATATGATAACCAAGCCACTGTTACTGCAGCATGAATCTGGGAAACGCTGACAGGAAGAGGAAGATCTGCTTCTGGCCGTTGGCACGGTGATGCTGGCAGCCAGATGTTGCTCGTGGTAAAGCCTCGATCCTGTTGTTGCCATGGAAATGCTTCAGCTGCTCTTACCAGTGATCAGCCCTCCGGCACCGACACACAGCCAGCGCACATACAGTACAGTACAGTGTGATCCCAGTGATGTACTCTGAGCTATTTTTGAAACATAATAGCGTGCATCTGCTGAAATGTGCAGTATGCAACCAGAACACACTGCATCCCACAATGCAATGCACTCAATCCACTTCCAGTGTGACGAATAACCCTGAAATGTTATCAACTGTGCTTTTTTTTTTAGGTGTTATATTTAGCCTTTTATTAGGGTTTTATTACAAACGCAAAACAACTACTCATGCATTTGACTTGAGCTTCTATTTGCAATGCAAATTAAGCTGCAGTTATGCAATTATGATTTATTTTTTACATCAGTCTGCACACCTGAAATTAAACATGCAGCACAGTGACAATAATACTCTTTCAAACATTTAGCATTGCATACTGCATATTTCATATGCGTTTTCTATTAAAAATAGCATGTACACGGTTTATTTATTTATTTTTATTTTTGTATTTTCAATGAACCTGAAGTTATGCAATTATTATTTATTTTAATTGTAATTTTTGAGAGGAGCCTTGATGCCTGGAATTACACATGCAATGGTGACAATAACAATGTTTCAAACATTTATTGCATACTGCATACTATTTTACATGCTTTTTTTGGATTGGATTGTATAATATAAAAATATTTAAGTTGTAAATAAACTAAAATTACTGGAGTTCATTCAGTTTTTCCAACTTCAAAATTGCATGTTTAATTCAATGCATTACTTGCTTCTTTGTAATTAGTTGTGAAATTTACTAGCAATGAACAGGCTACTTCAATTTCTTTGTGATTTAATCGATTTTATTTTTGAGACTGGAATTAAACATGTAATACAATACTGACCATGACACGATTTCAAACATTTATCATTGTATACTGCATACTATTTCTAAAAATATACATTTTTCAAAGTTGCAAAACAAAATGCTTGAGAAATAAGAGCAAAAAATATTTTTACTTATTACAATTTTGTGAAAACTGAGTAAATGCCACAACACCGTAAAATCTACTGTACAGCTTCTGTATTTATTTCTATATCTATATGTATTTTCTATATTTATTCTCTCTCTCTACTATATTCTATCTGCCATTTATTCTAATTCCTTATTCCTTCATACATTCTGTATTCTATAATTTTTTTTTATTAATGCCTGTGTATGTCCTTAACTCATTGTTGCACTGTGAGATGAGGAACTACAGAAAACCATTTCACGGCATTACATCACATGTAATATGCGACAAAGAACTACATTTCTTTCAGTGTAGTATACAGTCTAGAGTATGCAGTATTCATAACTCGCTCACACAGGATATCAAAGCATGTTACGCACCGATCTCTCCCCAGTGGAAAGGGTTAATGCCTCCGGTTGTGCAGTTGTACACGAGTGCAGTTTTCGGTCTGAAACGAAAACACAGAACAAGGAGATCACACCGTGCTGCATGAGCACAACCGCACATTTCCCCCTCATGCAAATACATCAACAGAGGGATTTTTCATGCTAATGTTCTCCGTTTAATCACCTGCGGGTCTCGCATAAGTTAATCAGACAGGTGAAGCTGACCTGTGCACTGCGGTGTACCAGCCGGCAGCCAGCGTCAGGTTTATAACCACGTCTACAGGAATCAGATCGGCCACCGCGTCATTACTGGCTCTCATGGTGCGCAGGATGCCCTTCCCAGCCTGCACCGGGACACACAAAACACACGCTTCTTCAGAGAGGACGCCAAACGCACCATCTGCCTCTGTCTGGCTGTGAGCTTCACGCAGGCGTTTAGGAGGATGAAACTGCTTCATGACTTCAGTAAATACAGACTAACGAAATACGAGGGGCAGATTGTTTTCATCGCTTTCAATCGTGCCAGGTCGCCTTGTTGTATTTCGGTGCAACTTATAAGCCATTCGGTTTCACATTAAATCAGCACTGGTGCGCAGTCCTTTAAACTTTAGTTTGTCCATCTTAATGAATGAAATATTAGTCAGAAATTGAAATAGAGCAGTTTATTGAAACCTATAGGCTACAGAAGAAAATCAATAATCATATACTAAATATTACTTACATAACATGATCTAAATATCAGTGGTCACTCTATATCTCCAATAATATGTCTTAGTAAGATGAGATTGAAATGATCCACACATATAATGAAATGCAATCTAATGATGATTGAGAGATGAAGAAATAAAGGCTCCTCAGAAGATGTGAGATGTTCTGGAGGCTTGTGAAGATCATTCCTCCGCTGAGGAACAGTGAAAGTAAAGCTTCTGGAAACAAACGCTCCTCAAAAGATCCTGATGATCAGATTTGAGACGCACTGATTTTTCTAAAAAATGATTGATGGAGAATCAAGTAAAGCCGAGTTGCTTCAGTCCGGTAAGTGTTCATCTGGAAATATTACTGCAGTTATTCTGACACTTACATGATAAAAATCAGATTTGACAACAAAAAGACACGTGAAGCACCAACTGAAGCTGGACGTTTGTGTAATTACACTAAAAGACCTTTATCAAACATATGACTTAAGGCTTGTAGTATATTGTGTGCGACAGGTTTATCTGCAAAGTTTTGATCATTTAGAGGCTTTTGAAAATCACTTAAAGTAATGTTAGGGTTAAGATTGCTCTCTGTGGGGTTCAGGATGTGTTAAACTTTCAGATCTACTGTAGCACACCATGAATCAATACTTACAGCAATGAAAACACCACTTGGTCCATTAAAGTTGTCTATCCAACCCTGTAACATACAGAAAAACCGTTTTAGCATTGTTGTGTCTCACATGGTTATACACAACAGAAATATGTTGTTTGCTATAAAACATGCATATGTCATCAATAAAAGCTCAACTCTATGGGGGGGGGGAGTCAAGAGTCCAAACCATGTTATTTTAATATAATTGAGATACTTTCATAGTTCTTGTTAATATTTTGAATTAGATTTCATTTTTACATTTTCTGTTTTCATTTTAATTTTAGTTCAACTTTAGAAATTATGTTGTCTTTTCATCTTTTTTATTTTTAATAATAAATTTAATAATAGTCATATTTTTAAATGTGTGTGTGTGTGATATTTTAGTTTTAGTTACTTTAGTATTTCAAATTAAACTAAACAAAAATGAGCAATGTTGCCTTGGCATCTACCTGAAATAAAATAATTTTACATTTTGTAATATTTTATTTCAATGTCTATATAGTTTTTATTTTATTTACTTTTTTATTTTAGAATTATTTTCATGTATTTCGTTTTATAGTATATGGAGTTCACCTAAATGTATTATTATTTTTTTAAATATATGTCTAAATAGTTTTTATTTAGTTCTTAGTTACATTTTTAGTTTGTTATTTTGGTACTTCAAATAAAAAGTTTATTTAATAAGTTAATTTTAATTTTTTTATGTTTTTAGTTTTAGTTAATGATAACAACCCCAAACGTCTCTATGATGTTCTGGTATGTATGTTTATGCCATCATTAGTCCAGGTTTGAACCTAAATCCTCTGGGTTAGCAGCCCAGATCTTTAACCATTAAGCCTCATCACTCAGACATCAGAACTCTGTTGCGAGCGGATGCGTCACTCACGGGGAACGGCTCCTGCCAGCTGGCTCCCACGATGGATGGCCGTATGATGCCGATGTTGAGTTTGCCGCTCTCCTGCTGCACCACACACTCGGCCAGCGCCACACACACACACACACACACACACACACACACACACAGATAAACCACTGCTCTGCTCCAGGGTCAGTACAGTGTGTCAGACAAAACATCCTGATGCAATATGGCTTGACAGAGTCAAACTATGTGGAAAATGACCAGTGACGTAAACCAAGTGTTTTCAAACTGGGGTTCGTGGAAAAGGTTAGAGAAAAAAAAAAATGAATAAACTAAAAAATTTTAGATTTAAAAAAAAAAAATCAAATAAATAATAAAAAATTGATTAAAATGAACAAATTAATACATAATAATAAAAATGTACAAATAAATACTACATCTAAAGGCGTAGTGCTATAGTGAGTAGAAAAAGGAATGTCAATAAATTAATTAACTGAAGTAATAAAAAAATAAATAAAAAGAAAAAAAGATAAAGAAAAAAAAAAATGAATAAACTAAAAAATTTTAGATTTAAAAAAAAAAAATCAAATAAATAATAAAAAATTGATTAAAATGAACAAATTAATACATAATAATAAAAATGTACAAATAAATACTACATCTAAAGGCGTAGTGCTATAGTGAGTAGAAAAAGGAATGTCAATAAATTAATTAACTGAAGTAATAAAAAAATAAATAAAAAGAAAAAAATACTGATTAAAATAAATTATTAAACAATAAATATAGATTAAAATAAATAACAAAATAACATATTTAAATAAATAATACACCTAACAAGTACAGTACTATAGTGAATAGAAAAAAAACTAATAATGTAAATGTAATAGAAACAAAACATTCTCAAAATATTTGGACATATTTAATAATATTAATAATATTAGCATCAGTTTTTCAAAGTATTGGGACTTTCTACATAAAAATATACACCTACCTATACATTTTACAAATTTATATTTTATGAAAATTATTACTTAAAAAAAAAACATTAACTGAAAATATGATTTATTTTATTATTTCAGCTAGTTGCCAAGAACACATTTCTTTGTTTTTATTTTAGTTTAACTTGATGTACTAAAATAACTAAAAACTATATCGACACAAAAAACACTACAGAAAATGACAAAAATACACAACAAAATTACTCAAACTTTAAAAGGAAAAAAGGAAAAAATATACATATAAACTCAAAATATTAACCAAAATATCTAAAAGTATCTTGATACTAAAATAACACTGGTGTCCATGGCTTTTCACGTTTCTCTCCTTGCTTTATCTTTATTTAGTTTTGATATATTTTTCAGCATACCATAATTCTGTTCCGAGGCATTAGCTTAAGTCTGATATTGAATACACTCTTCCCTCACACCACTGGATTGTGTCAGCTCCATCAGGTAACATGAGCTCATGGCTGTGGTTGCCGGGTAGATTCTGTAAGCGAGTTTGAGGTGATGATATATTGCACTCACTCCAGAGAGTCGATGAGTTTCTTGGGCTCGACCGGAAGAGGGTAGATGACCTCGTCGATGTGTCTGCGGTTGCAGTTGGCGTAGGCGGTGGAGATGTGGATGAAGGCCTGCAGGTGCTGCATCTGCTGCGCCAGAGAGAGGAGCTGCAGCGTGGCGATGACGTTCAGCTGCAGCGCATGCCTGCGCAGACACACGCATTCATTATTACACATTATAAACCATAAAAAAACATACAACATAGATAAATCACGGCTCTGCTTCAGGGTCAGTACAGCGTTTCAGACATGCAACATCAGAGTTAAATAACGTGGAAAATAAGACATGCAATAGCCGGCAATGTAGACCAAAAAACATAAATAATTAAATAAATTTGATTAAAATAAATAAATAATAAAAATACAATAAATACATTAATAAAAAACGATTAAATAAAAAAAACTAATAAAAATACATATGTAATACATCTAACAGCACAGTACTGTAATGACTGGGAAAAAGTAACAAGATAATAGTAACAAATGATTTATTATTATAATTTGGCATAGACCAAAAATATATAGATAATGTTTAAAAAAAAAAAATGAATATATAAATAAAAGAAATAAAACATTACAAAAATAAAAATATTAAAAATAAAAATGATTAAAAAAAATAAAATAAATAAATAAAATAAAATAAAAAATATATATATATCTCAGTACAGTACTATAGTGAGCAGAAAAAGTAATAAGGTAATGTAAAAAACTTATTTCATTATTTCAAAATGTACAAATTATAATTAAATTATATTTAAAAAAATGTTTTTGATTAAAATAACTAAATCATACAAATGATTAAAATAAAGAAATTAATTCTTTCATTTAATTTCTAAAATTAAAGTCTGTGACAGGGTAATGAAGGTTCACTTAAAATATTTAAAAAAATGTTACTTGAAATAAAATAAAATAAAAGTTACATTTATTTTATTTCAGCTAGTTGCCAAGTTTAGTTTATCATGAAATACTGAAATAAAGTAAAACTGAAATAAAAATGTATTAAACTTTATAGAAATATTTAAAAAAAAAAATAATGACAAAAAATACTAAAATTATTTTTTTTTATAAATGATTATAAAAATGTTTTAAATTTAAACAGTATTTTCTAATATAAAAATTATAATAGCATATTAGTGATACTGGTCAGTGATGCTGCTGAGAGTAAGAGGACTGCATTCTTAAAACACATTAGGACACTAATGCTGTTTTTATTTTCCTTAAAACAATGAAGCAAGAGGTCGCTGTGAACAGATGTGTGTGTGTGTGTGTGTGTGTGTGGAAACCTTTCCCTCACTCGTTCCTGCTCCGAAGTCAGCGGTTCACTAATGAATCCCTCGTTCCTCCAGCAGTGAGAACATCTGCTCCTCAGCCAGAGACTCATGACACAGCAGAGATACTGTATGTGTGTGTGTGTGTGTTTTCCCTCTCTTATTCTTGTTATTCTCACATTTCCTCCCTTCCTTTACAAGTGTAGCTATGGCTTTCAAGTTCCATCACTAATGTTCAAAAATTTGGGTTCGGCAAGGTTTATTAATGTTTTTGAAGTCTCCTCTACTCACCAGAGCTACATTTATTTGATCAAAAATACAGTAAATATTTTTAGAATTTAAAATAACTCTTTTCTATGTGAATATCTGTTAAACTGTAATTTATTCCTGTGATCAAAGCTGAATTTTCAGCATCATTACTCCAGTCTTCAGTGTCACATGATCCTTCAGAAATCATTCTAATCTGCTGATTTGCCGCTCAGGAAACATCTCTGATGATATGTTTAGTAAACGTCGTCACATGTCACTCACTTCAGGGGCTCGTCGAAGCGGATGGTGGCGGCGCAGTGGAAGACGATGTTGATACAGGAAGTGAGTGTTTGCACATCCTCTGGACTGATGGCCAGGCCGGGCTGCGTGAGCTCGCTGCTGATGGGGATGATCTTCTGATGAAAGTCAGGATTATCTTCACGCACGCGGTCGAACAGCTGCGAAACACACACAGACAAACACGTCAGCGATGCAGATTCACTAGAACAACACAAAACATGACAATGATCATTCTTCACGCTCTCTACAGTATTCACACATGAAGGCAGTAAGTTACGGCTACACTAATTCAAATTAAATTAACAGTATTATTTGGAAATGTAATGAGAACCACCAGTGAGAGTAAATAAATAAGAGAGTAAGTAAGTCAAATAAATAAATATTCCAAAAACAGGAATTTGGGTAGTAAATACAATTAAGTTAATTTAAATAAAATAAATTATGCATTATTTGAAAACCCAGTGGAAATCACCACTGAATGTCTACAATAAAAAAAATAAACAAACATTCCAAAAAAAAAAAAAGGAATTCGAGTAGTAAATACAATTAAGCTAATTTAAATTAAATAGTGTAAATTAATGTACTAACTAATGTCAAATACCATTGAAAAAACTACAAAAAAACTAACAAAAATCAATCAATCAATCAATACTGTATTATTTTAAAACCTAATGAACAGCACCATTATGATAAATAATGTATGATAATAATGTACTTACTGCCAGAGCAAAAACAAGACAATAAGATTGCAACATCATTAATCATTAAAAGTATTCATGTTAATTTAAATATAATAAATATTTTATAAATTTATTATATGAAAACCTAATGAGAATCACCACTGATAAAATAAAATAACATAAAATAAGCAAATTACAAAAATGGGAAATGTACTTCATTTTTAATTGTCCATAAAAATAACCTTACAATGCATGGTTCTAAAACAGGCATAATTTTCACACTATTATTAAGAAATGCAATTTCTCATCTGATTTTGTGGTAAAATGCGGTCTGTTTACATGAGAATTCATCCTTCCAGAGACATTATGTAATTTTCAGTTGGCCAAACAGCAAGATGCAAATGACAAATCTCATCATATTATGTCACAAACTTCAGCGTTTATGTAAAGGAGAAAACTGCAGAGTGAATAAATAAGATATTTCTTGACCGTATCCAAACACGCAGGCATTCAGCATTGCATGTTTGAAGCGGTACATAGCTGATGAATACGCTGTGATTTCTGTAATCTGATATCAAAAGAGGGTTTGCAGAGACTGCCGTCTTCTCTGACACACATGTGCTGACTTATGTTACCCACAATTCCACGGGTCTGGCAGTGGCACATTCCTGCAGCCGCAGCCAATCAGAATCAGTTCTGGACGTAACATGTGACCCCCTGTAACCCCAGCAGCAGGCACCTGTGGAGGGCCGGACAGATGCTGACAGCTGTTGAGCCTCTCGGTCCAGTCACGCTTTTCAATGCATATTTATCCAAGAGAGATTAGCATTTCCAAAAGAAAACAGTGCATTCCATCAGAATAATATTGAAGTCTGAGGTGTAAATGAAGCACCAGAGCTGCTTTATAGTCGCACTGAAAATATTCATCAAATCACTTTCATTTTTCCAATAAACAAAATGCAATAACTTGACATTTTCATGAATTACATTCTCTAAATTATTCATACATCATGGTCATTATATAAAAATTAAATAAATACTGTATTTGAAAACCTAATGAGAATCACTATTTTAAAAAAATCACAATAATAAGTCTGAGGTGTAAATGAAATGCCAGAGCTGTTTTAAAGTTGAACCAAAAATATTACATTAATTTCAATTAAAAAAAGAATCAAATAATTGTTTACAAATTAACAAAACAAATAAAACACAATAATAAAAACATTTAAACAAACATTAAACAAATGTAATTTGCTTAATTTAATTAATAAAACAAAACAATAATACAAAATAATCAAATAAATGTAATTTATAAAAATAAATAAAACAAAAAATAATAATTAAAAACAAATTATTAATAATAAAATACAAATTATCAACCAAATAAATTTCATTCACAAAAACATTATTTAAACATACATTAAACAAATTTAATTTGCTTAATTTAATTAATAAAACAAAAAACAATACAAAATAATAAAATAAATGTAATTGATATAAATAAAACAAAAAATAATAATTAAAAAACAAATGATTAATAATAAAATACTAATTATCAACCAAATAAATTTCATTCACAAAAAAGCAAAACAGAAAACTATTTTATTACATTAAACTAATTATTATTCAAAAACAGGTCAAATACATTCAAATACTTCATTTACAAAAAAAATAAAAATAAATAATAATAATAATAATAAAAAAAATATTAATCAAATTTCATGTACAAATAAAAAAACAAAAACAAATGCAATTATTTAGAGAGTACATAAACCCCATTTAGACACCATATCAGAACTAAAAGGATGTTTTTGAGTCATCAGTGTAAATGAGGACCAATCAGCAATAAGCATGCAAATAAGCACCAATCCACATTCAGTATGCAAATAAACTAAACCGTTTAAACGCTACATCTAAAACTTCCTGAAGGACGAGAGCTTGTAAAACACGTCACAATCCAGTTCTTCCTGACTTTTTCCCAGGAATTGCTGTGAAATTGTCTGGGAGAGCGTGGCTGTTATAAAGTCTGCTTGCATGTTGAGACACGGATCATTTTATTTGCTCTCGCAATGTGTTCGTTTATTCAAGATGTTGTCAAAGGTGTGAGATGTACAGTACACATTCACCCATGTTTCAATAGAAACACACTTTCCTACACAATTACTGGGAAATCTCTAAATGTCACTTAGACCTGTTGCTATACGAGACATTTTTTGAATATTAAACTATACAAAAAAGTAAATATATATATTAATAATGAAAAAATAAATTTTTACCTAGATATATTATACATATATATTTTATAGTTATTTAGTTTTTTTTTAAATATTAAACTATAATTAAAAAAAAAATCTGATTAAAAACAAAAAATATAATTAAAAATAAGAAATAAAATAAACTTAAATAAAGAACAAATTATTCATCAATGTAATTTACAAATAAAACAACAAAAAATATTTTTGTTTGGCAAACTAAAACTGAACTAAAAGTAGAACTGAAAAAAAAAACTAAATAGTAATATTTAAAAAAAAAAATAAAAATGAAAATGTTAAAAACATAATTACTCAAATTAAACAAACTAAACTATAAACTGGAACTATAGGATACAAGGTAAATCAAAATATTAAAACTAAAGTTATTTAAAAGTAAATAAATAGTATAATAAAACAATACAATTATTAATAAAATACAATTTCCTTTGCAAAATAAAGAACAAATACAAAACAATAATAAAAACAAATTATTAATAATTTAGAGAGCACATAAACCCCATTCAGAAACCATAACAAGACATAACAGAACTTATTTGGCTAATATAAAGTTTGTGCGCACCAATAAAGCAACTATCTTGTCTTTTACAAACAGAGGATTTTCAAATGCAAATGAAAGTGCATCATTTTAATATGAGAAATCATCAGGGGAGCATTTCCCACACACTCAAACATGCAAATACTACGGGATTAAAGCCCTAATGATATCATCTGAACACATAAGTCTGGTAATAACGGCCATTAACACAGATTACTGGACAGATCAGACAACATATGGACCATGAGAGCAGTCTAGCCAACACACACACGCACACACACGCACGCACGCACGCACGCACGCACGCAGATTTATAGAGAGTTCAGTCAATGCTGGACAGAGAAGCAGTTAAAAGGTCAAGACGCACAAAACTAGGAGAACCTGGTCAATATCAGACAGGAGGAACGTGAGGAGCTAGAACGCTTTTCAGAAATGCAGTAAACGAAGGAAACGAGTGCAGCCGCTTCAGCCAAACTTCCTGCCGCGGTTTGTGTCACCGGGCAACAAAAACACAACACACACCAGCATGCTGGCATAGGATGAAGCTCCATATGCTGCTGCAGCGCTGCCAGAGCGAACGCCCTCACACACTCACACACTCACTCTCACACACACTCTCACACACACACACACACTCTCACACACACTCTCACAC